TTTAAGGAAAGACTCGTCCTCCTCTTTCCTTAAAGACTTGACCTCCGTAACATAAAAGTGCCAGGCGGAACAGCAAGTGCTGCTGTGGAAGCTGCAGAAAGTCTTCCAGAAGACAGCTAAGGGAGTGGATGCTAGGGGCTACACGAAACATTTTTTTTAATTTGCCAGAGTGCAAGTTTCCTTGCTAGAGAGAGACAGGGAAGTGAGAAACACGCCTCCACATGGGGAATGGTCATGCCGCATCCCTTCTCCATTTCTCCTTTCACATGCGTCTGGTGTGTTTTTCGGGTTGCGGGGTCCAGGTCTGAAACTGCTCAGTCCATCATATGGGATCCAGCTACCGTATCCATTGACTGCTGGCTGGCTCCAGATTTTTTTCTTTTTAAAAATTGTTTAAAGAATTATTTGTTTATCATTCTTATTTTTAAAATGTGCTATAGGGCACATGTGCTTACCAGGGAGAGGAAGAGAGAGACAGAGAGAGAGAGAAAGTGAGAAAGCAAGCCACAAGATCCAGGACTTGAGCCATGTAAAGTCCCAGCACCTTAACCAACCATGCCACCTGCTGGTCAACAGATTGATTTTTGTTTGTTGTTTGCTGTGCCTGGCATGTTTTTCAGGCTCCTGGGTCCAGGACTTGAATCATGCAGTTAGCCGTGTGGGATCCAACCCTTTTGACCACCATGCCACTGGTTAGCCTCCAGATTTTTAATGCAGACAAAGAGACTTACATTGGAAGAAGATGGCATTTAGGACTTTCTAGCTAGAGAAGAGAAGTTAATGCCTGGCTTGAAACCTTCAGGTTTCAAGGCTGACTCGCTTTTTAGGGGCTAATACAGATGATGACTTGAAGTTGAAGTTAATACTTACTATTCCAAAAACCCTGGAGCGCTTGAGAATTATGCTCAATCTACTCTGCCTATATGGAACAATGAAGACAGAGTGAGAGCATGTCTACATCTACTTACAGCATGATTTAGTGAATATTTTACATCCTCTATTGAGACCTGCTGCTCAGAATAAAAGATTCTTCTTAAAATATTACTGCTTATTGGGCCAGCCAGTGGTTTGGTGGCTAAGGCAGCTGGATCTCACATGTCTGATGGCACGGTTAGAATTCCAGACGCAGTGGCTTGAAAAACATCCTGGGTGCGTCTACATATGTGCCCCAGATCCCAAAAGGATAATGAATTGTGGCATGGTCATACCTCCTGGGGGGTGATTTCTCATTTTCTCTCTCTTTGGTGAGCATCTGTGCCCTATAGTAAAACCTAAAATATTTAAAAAATAAAATCTCACTTCTTATTGACAGTGCACCTAGACATCCAAGAGCTCTAATGGAGACATACGAAATGATTAATGCTGTTCTCATGCCTGCTAGCACAACATCCATCTGCAGCTCATGGACTGAGAATTAATCTCAGCTTGTTTTTGGAGAGGTTTTTGCTACAGGGTGCGTGTGCTCGGCAGAAAGACAGAGAGAGACAGAGAGACAGAAAGCAAAAAATCACCCCCCCGGGGGGATGGCCATGCCGCAACCCCTTCTCCTCCATTCTCCTCTCGAGATCTTGGACACACATATACAAGTGCCTGGCGTGAGTTTAAGCCACCTGGTCCAGGACTCGAACCATGGTTGACTACATGGAAGTCCAGCAATGTAGCCATTACAACATCTGCTGTTCCCAAGAATTAATCTCAACTTTCAAGTCTTATTAAGAAATACATTTTATAGGAGACCAGCAGATGGCATAAGGATTTAGTGGCAGGGTTTGAAAGGATTGACTCCAATTTTGAAATTAGTTCTGCTGTGGGTGAAATGATAACATTTTACAGCATTGCGTGCTACAGAGAAATCTTTGTGAAAGTAAAGTTGAAGGACCAGCAGGTGGCATAATGGTTACATTGCTAGATTCCCATGTAGTTGACCACAGTTTGTGACCCAGACTCAGCAGCTTAAAACTCATGCTGAGCAGCCATCTTGGAGCCTGTGGAGTCCTGCTGGCAACAGGATTTCTAAAGGGCAACTATGTCTGGAAGGCTGTGGTCCAAGGCCATTTTTCCTCACTATAAGCAGGGTCTTAGGAACCAGAGAAAGCATACAACTCTTCTTAAAATTGAAGGTGTTTATGCTGGGCTATGAGAATTCTATTTAGGCAAGAGGTGTGCTTATGTGTACGAAGCAAAAAACAACACAGTGATTCCTGGTAGCAAACCAAATAAAGCCAGTGTAATTTGGAAAGGTTACCTGTGCCCATGAAAACAGTTGGCATGGTTCGAGCCAAATTTTGAAGCAACCTTCCTGCTAAGGCCATTGGATACAGAATCCATGTGATGCTGTACTCCTCAAGGATTTAAAATAATGTCAAGTAAATGAATAAAAATGGGTGGCAGAGGGGGGAAACAAAGTCATGCTGGGTGTATGTGCATGCATGCCCAAAATCCCGAGAGGAGAATGGAGAAGAAAGGATTACAGCGTGGCCTTCCCCCCAGAGGGTGATTTCTCACTTTCCATCTCTCTGGCAAGCACATGTGTCTTGTAGCAAAAATCTTTCTGAAAAAAAAAAAAAAAGTGAAAGTTGATTCATGTGGCTGACTTCATTATTGCCTTATTTTAAGAAGCTCACAGCCACATCCACCTTCACCACCACTTGATCAGTCAACAGCCATAAACATTAAGCCAAGACCTTCCATCAGTAAGAATTACAACTCACCGAAGGCTCAGGAATTGTCAGCATTCTTTTAGCAACAAAATATATTTTTATTTTTAAATTTTTTGCTATAGGGCATATGCACTTGCCAGAGAGAGACAGAGAGAGTGAGAGAAAAAGTGAGAACTCATCCCCTAGGGACACACCCAATCCCTTCTCCATTTTCCTCTGGATTTTGGCCATGAACACACATGCACCAAGCATAATTTTCAAGCTGCACAGTCCAGGACTCAAACCTTGAAGTTGGCCATGTGGGATCCAGCCACCTTAACCTCCATGCCATCTGCTGCCCCCAGCAATAAAATATTTTTAAATTAAGGTATCTACTGTTCTTTTTTAGATATAATGCTACTGCACACTTACTAGACTATAGGATAGTACTAACATAACTGCAATATGTACTGGGAAACCAAAAAATTCACAAGATTCACTTTATTGAAATATCCACTGAACTGAGTGGCCTGGAATCTAATCTGATGTATGTATTTACACTGATCACACCGAGGAGCTGGGGTGTATGAGGGGTTACAGAACTGAACACCGTGTCAAGGGAGACTGGACCCTGTTTCTGGTATGAGAAAGTTCAACTTACATTTAAAATGGATGCCGAGGTAACATAAATTCAGAAGAATTCACTACAGTATTAGCTCACTCCAAGAAATGGAAAGAAAAATGAAGGCCAGCCTGATAGCACAGTGGTTGAACACCATGCCTAGGGAGTTCAATCCCAACGCCAGCAGATTCTAATGCCTCATTGTTGGGGTTGCTTTCTCTCTCTGGTGGGTGCACACACTGTCTGGCAATACAATTTTAAAAAATTATTTTATTTAAAGTTATTTATTTTATTTACTTATTTTCATTTAACCAGAGAGAGAGGGAAAGTGAGAAAGTGAGCTCCCAGGTCCGTGACTTGAACTGCAGTCAGCCATGTGGGAGTCCAGTGCCCTTAACCACCATGGCAATAAAATTTTTAAAAAAATTTTTTCCTTAATTTTCCTGTAATTTTATGGACTCCTCCTCCCCACCCTGAGGCTGCACAAATCTGTCTGAGATCATGCTCTGTGTGCCAGAGAACCGTATTTGAGTTTCGCCCTCGGTCAATTCAGCCCATCATGACAGCTAGGCTGTACTCCTCTCTTCTCTGCCACAGCCCATAGTTCAGGGTTTTTTTGTTTGTTTGTTTTTGTTTTTGTTTTCTTTTTGGAGAGATTTTTGCTATAGGGCGCGTGCGCTCGCCAGACAGACAGAGAGAGACAGAGAGCAGAAAGCGAGAAATCACCCCTCAGGGGGGATGGCCGCACCACAATCCCTTCTCCTCCATTCTCCTCTCGGGATCTTGGGCACGCACACACACATGCCCGGCGTGAGTTTTAAGCCACCGGGTCCGGGACGTGAACCACGGTCGTCTATGTGGGAGTCCAGCGACATAGCCATTACGCTAACTGCTGGTTCCCCATACTTCAGTTTTATACTCAGAACCAAGGACTCTACAGGGAAAGGAATTTCCTCAAATCATTAAAATCCAAGAGTCAGAAGAGAAGGGATTTAATTACTCCATTTGCCCCTCACCAGAGCTCATCAGATTTACTTTTCTTATTCCTCGCTGGAGAACAATGACAGGAACAGTACCTGGATGGAATCAAGTGGTCGCCACTGCATTTCATCGAAAGAAACAGTGATGATTAACATGGGGCCCACCTCACAATCCATTTCTCCCCCGAGCCCCAAACCATGCAGAGGCAAGACTAAGAAGAAGGAAGCCTCTATGTGTGTGTGTGTGTTTTAGGTAGGAACCCTAACTTGAGTTATTTCTCTCAGAACGAGGTAGGAAAACGAGAGAGACATGTAGGGACAGAATAGGGAGTGATCCCATTTTCATCCATCGTGAGGGTCATAGCTGACATCCCTGGAACAAAAGACAGATTCACAAGAGAAAAACTTAACAACTTTTTGGATCATAGTTCAGTGCCATACAGGAACCTTCAGATTGAAGACCCAAAGATACAGAAGTTATCTGATGATATACTTGGGTTCAGTAAAGTAAGGACGGCTATGTTAGAAATGTGATTGCACAAAAAGGGTAGGAGCTAATGGAAACAAACTGAGTGGGGAAATCTAGCAAGGCCTGTCTGTCTAGATTCTTTCCAGCCTCTTTGGTTGTAGCATTTCTTCCTCCCAGATATAGGGTAGGACTCCTCTGGAATTGTTGTCGGATGAATCTCTACACTTACAGTCCAGAATCCCAAAGCAGGTCTGGTCCCTCGCCACTCAACAAAACAGAGAGACTCAAAATTGTTGATAAGAGAGGAAAGGAAAATTTATTACAGTATGGCCACACCAGGAAGACGTGTAAGGATACCTTCAGTCAGCTGATTTGCGGGTGCTTTTATAGGGGAAGGGGGTTGCTATGTGGCTTACAGCCATCTACAGGAAAGCATAGACAAGTTTAATTTTTAGCTGGGGGTACAATCAAGTAATTTGTCTCTGGGACAAGAGTTTCAGTCTTAGCTAAGAGGTACAATCAAATGATCCATCTTCAAAGACAAGAGTTTCAGCCTGTTGCTGGGGTGTAACGTTCTCATCGTTTCAGCTTCTGGTTGGCCATTTGTCTCCTTGGAGTTCCTGTGAGAAACCTCAAAGAGTATCGAGAGAAACCATTTTTTTATTTTAACAAGATGGAGTCAGTTTCACTAAGCAGGCCCCAGTTACAGAATGAGAATCTTAATTTCTTAAGACCAGCTGTTATTACACAAAAGAGATGGGAATAGGGGGAGATGTTAGAGTACTACTTTTAGTTTTTATGATTGGAAAGGAGTTCTGGTTCATAAGACCTCCCTTGGGGAAGAGGAATTTTAGTTTCTATATTTTGTCTTTGGGGAGAACAGGAGCCAGAGTCAGAAGGACAGGAGAAGGTCAGAGAGAAGCTGCTTCTCCGGAGGGTTCCAAGGCCTTCACTTTGGGATATCACCATTTGAACCTCATCAGGCAGGTACTGAAATGATGAGGGAGAAGGTGGGCATCTCTGCTCTGGCCTTAGGTGGAAGACTCCACAGAGGCATCGAAGTGGACAGGCACGTACGGACTCCCCTCACAGGCCACAATGATGTGTCTCTGTTTCTGGCTGGTTCGGTAGGCGCAGTTGGGGTACTTGGAGCTGCCGGTGAGGCGGCAGTCTGTGATGTGCATGCTGCTGGTGCTCTTGTAGCAGTTGGTATTCCCATTCTTGCAGGTGACATTTTCCTGGAAGCAGACAGCCTGGACGCTTGCCAGGGACTCGTGCACAAAGGTGTTCACTGCCTTGCACCAGCCCTTCGTCATGTTCCGGCGTGTCATCATTTGGTTGCAGTAGGTGGAGGTGTTGTCGGAAGAACCTTCTGAGTCCATGTGCTGCCGCAGGAACTTCTTGGCCGGGGACTCCTTACCCAGGGATGGCTGGACCCACCCCAGCACCAGGAGCAGCAGGACTAGCAGTGGGAACAGCATGAGGGACTTCTTCAGAGCCATTGTGGCCTCACACCCCTGGATAAGCCTGAACGAGAGAGAGAGAGAGAGAGAGAGAGAGAGGAAAAGCAGGCCTTTAGAGAGCTCCAGCTCCTACCTGTGGCTTCTCTGGCTCATAGCCTCCCTTTTAGCTCAGTCAGAAAGACATCCCTGCTCCAAGAGACTTTTTAATATTTTTACTTATTTATTCTAGTGTAAGGAAAAGTATTAAGTACTTACTAAGTAAAAGTACACTCTTGAGAGGTAGGAGCAGGCCTGAGCAGACAGAAAAAGTGACTCAAGAAAGCCCCAAGAGACTTTGTAAATAACGAGACAGTCACAGTCACTCATACCCTTCCCCAAGAGCATTTCACTCGCACTCCCTAGACAGAGACTTGAATCCACTCTAGGAGGTGACTTCAAATCCTGGCAGTGTTGTCTTTGAATACTGGAGTTTCTTTGATCTAAAGAATATTTAAAAAATAAAATACTTTTGTCCCAGTGCTTAAATGGCCCATCAGAAAATCATTTTGATTAAACCATGAGTCAAACTGTATTCCCGCGGCATCTCTATGGCTTTCAGGCCCACGGCTGACAGAGCTTTGTTGTCTTAAACACAAGGGAATCTCAGTCCGGTGCCTGCCTGACACTGGCATCAGAAAGGGATCCCATTGTATTCCAAAGAGAGATGCTGCCTCCCCCAGCCTGGGGGGCTCCTTCTTCTCAGGCCCATAGTTTCCTTGTGCCTGGACGTGCCATTCCCTACCCTTCTGCCGCGGCTGATCTCTGTCTGACCCAAGCTTTCTCACTCATCCTGACTTTCTCCTCCTCTCCAACCCTCAAGCTCCTGGGCTGCTCACCTGTCTCCAGTTTAGACTCCAGCAGAGAGTAGGTCAGTGTCTGCAATCGCTCAGTCCTTCATACAGGACTTTGGAACTTAATACAGATTACGAAGGGTTTTGGCTTCCAATAAGAGAAGGGTGGGAGGAGCATCAGGGGCGCTGTCCTATGAAAATAAAGACACTGTGAGGAAGGGGTGGGGAATCACTAAGCCCGCCCATTTCAGGGCTGCTGGGAAAGGACTGAATCTTTGCCTATAGGACTCTTTCTCACCAACTGAGTCTCACCTGGCTGCTGGTTCACAAGGAGCGGTAAAGAACGCCGCTACAGGATGGCACAGCAAACCCCACATACCCTGATGGTCCTTGTCACAGTACTGATCATTTTTGCCAGAAAGCTCTTGGATGTTAACAAAGAGCACATAACGTGATCATGGGAAGGGGAGGCCCTCTCTCCCCAGGAGTTCTGACATGGCTTTGGTTGGACTTCCTCTCCCAACAACACCTCTCCTGGGGACAAAACCAGGGAGGGTCTTGCTGCCCCCAGTTGGAAGAGTTCCAGATCTGGAGACAAAAAAAAGGGGGGGAGTGCTTGAATAGGAAGGTAAAGAAGGTTTCTAGGGTGAGCTCACCCAGTTCTGGCCACTTCCCACTCACCCTCCACTTCCACTTCTTAAGGGTGCAGCTCTTCCCTACAGTGGCCACTGATCCTATAGGTTAGAGATGAGAAGAGAAACTAAACATAAACCAAAATCCCAAATACTTTCTGAGAAAAAAATACAAAGAATATCATATTTCTTACCAGCAGAATTCCCTCTTAGAAAGAGACTTATTTTTGCTAGATGACAACTCTGATAACCTCTGGAGTAAAAATTGTCAAAAATTCATCCTTGCTCTGGATTCAGACTGCTCCAGTCCAAATTCTGATTCAGCACCTTAAGAACAAAGCAACTGGGGCCAGAGGGTGTCATGGCAGTTACAGCACTGGACTCACATGACCAAACATGGTTCAAGTCCCAGACCTGGTGGCTTGCTTTCTCACTTTTCCTCTTTCTCTCTCCCTCTGGTCGAATTAAAATAAATGAAGGAATTAATTAAGTTAATAATTAATTTTTTTAAAAGGCAGAGCAAGTTATAGAATTTAATTTCCTTATTTCTCAGTTCACTCATTTTAAAAATGGGGATACAAACATATACTTCTTGGGTTGATCGGAAGGTTGAAGATGTACAGGGAGCTCAGAGGGATGGCTGGCACTGAAAAAGCATCACTGTCAGCTCTTGTGAGGGTTCACATGTGGTGGGGTTGAGACCCCATGTTTAAACATGCTTGGGTGATCTCTGAATTGCTTTCTGAAGGGGGTGCAGTCAAGTAACTGTAAGATTTTTGTTTTGCTAAAAATGTGAGGTGGAAGTAGCAGGCAGTTTTGAAACTAGAAGAGTAAA